AAATAGCCAATCAAAATTTGACTGTTAAAACTAATTATTAATTTACCCGAAACTTATATAATTTATTAATAAATATATCCCGAAACTCTAAAACATATTTCAGGTTAAGGTTAAAATATTATCTCATCTCCAAAACTACCGAAATTAATTTCAGAGTTCTGGAGTTTCAGGGATTTATAGTTTCAGCCGACAGCTTTAGTATTTATTTAAAACATCATGTAAAGCGATAAGCCTAAGCCATGAAGTATAGTCATGCATAGCGCCTTCAGCCAATTTTTATGTATTGTAAGCCAGCTTGGTCCCTCTAGGACCCTACCGGCAATGTTTTTATTTCATAAATAAAGTATTATTATTGTACTATACATGAGAAATGGGTCACGTGTAATGAAATATCAGGACTATTAATCTATCTGAACCAGTCTTACCTATATAAAAAACGTCAGGTGATAAGTGAGAAGAGTCTTCACAGTTGGTGAGACATAGTAATTAGGCCGTCGTTCCATATATGATGCAATATGACTGATCATACAGCAGGCTTGTGAAACAGAATAATTTTTCATAGTCTGCCTCAGTATTTTTTTGTTCTTGTTCTCACTTACACTAGTTTGCACTAATAAAATTTCACAAAAAATACTATAAAAGCCGAAAACATATCTATCACTTTACTTTGCCTCATTAAGGGAAATACTCTTTATTGGTAACCTCAAGGAGGTTATTAAGGAGAAAAATGCGCAAACTTTTGCTAATGTTGACGTCAAGGATATTAAGCTATGAAAAGTGCCAATCTCTGACGATTACGTCAATCCCTTAAGCAATCTTTCACTCGAGGATAGCAATGAGCTGTTGGCAATAAGAAAGATTTCAAAATATTTTCCAGACTCACCTTCTAAAGAACATATTCATGTTTTAGTCTCTCTCCCAAAATCCACCACCCGAGCGAAGTATTGGAATTAAGGGAACAACTCGCCTCATTGCAGGCATTACTCAATAAGTCTGAATATGGTACGTATGGTAGAGGAAAGAGTTGAAAACTTCGTTAGGCCTAGGCTAACCATTGCTTTTATAGAGTTCAATGTCATCATTAGTCCGAAATGAACAAATGGATTCAAGTAGATCGTAAACATAGAAGAAGTGACCCTCGAAGATCTTAAAAATTCTATACATGAAATGAACCTTAGGTTGCCAGCACTTGAAAATGACAGTGCAGTGCTAAACTTTATGTACGAAGTGAAGAGATACTCGCCTCAGAATGATCAAGACCAGCAAAATGCTCTGACAGTTCATATCAAAGAATAATTTCAAGCTTGTTGTAGTCATAAAGACGCCATCAAAAGCTTTTTCGGATTAGACATTTTCAAAAATGTGTCAGCTTTATAGATTCGGAGAATCGGATGACCCATCATTATCAGTATTCCTGCCTTTCACTTGTGGATGCAAAGTCCTGGAAAATGATTCTTCCCAAGCAATACTTAAACATCTTATAGCCGAACTGGAAGCCTGACTCGAATCCATTCCAATCAGTAGGAATGAAGCATCGAAATCACAATATGTTTGCTCGTACCTTGTCACTAGGGTAAATCTATATAAGGGAAAGTTTGAGCTTTAACCAGAAAAAAATATTACATAGCCTCATGGACACGGACCAGTTGATTTCGTAATAAATCTCCTTTGAACAGCAAAAACTGCTAGCATGACAGAAGTAAAAGATGAAGATTTTTTCAAGGGTATTGCTCAGAATGCCGTTCAGCGAGTCAGCTTTATCAAACCATAAACGTAAGGTGAGCAAGATGGAGGAAGAAAGTGTGTTTACAGGTAAGACTTTCAGAATCATCACAGATGCAAAAGAATGGTATTTTATGGAATGCTCGCTTGATGATCAGGATAGGCTAAGATTCAAACTATCAGAACCAGTGATCGTTGTATATAAGGACGAGAATATGGAAAACATGGTTAGGAAAGTTCTTAGGCATATTGCATGATTATTGGAGAAGGTGTAGAAGCTGGATTCTGATTCACAAAGTGAAGAAAGTGTAATAAAAAATATAGGTCATCGAGCAATCTTACAGATAGTATAGTTAAGTCTTAGTATAGAAAATTCATCATGATATATCACGGGCTACGTGGTGGGTTACCCACCCATCCTGAGCTATGTATTTATTTTGCATGTAATAATAAAAAATTTCTTGGTAAAACTTCCTGATCTCGGTTCAGGAAGTGACTTCATAACCTATATTTTTTCTTAGCAGAATGTACCGGGGGGGACAAAAGTATTGCACGCTTTTATTTTTTCAATAATTTTTTATTTTTTACAGAAACATACAATTTTTTTTT